AAATCGTGTTTAAAAATTGGAGAGAAAATGCTGAATTGTGGATAAATGTTTTTTATATAATGTTTTGTTTTTTACATAATCATAGTTTATTATTGACATCAGGAAGTACAAACAACATAAAGATAAAACAGCCATTCTGCCATTTACCCTGCACTGCCTCTTTATTAACCAAGCTAATTATGGAGTGAAATCCATTAAAAACTGCAGCAGTTGGTATTCAGATCCGGTCATAATATGTTTAATTAAACATACTGTACTTATTGGGAGATTATAAAGGAACATTACAGGTGTTCCATTGTTCTAAATAGTTTTTTTTTTTTATGTAAATCACTACAGTGATGTGCATGATGATTTACATTAGGTGTGTTTGTGTGTGGGATGGGAAACAACAGGGGAAAAGCATTTATAGGTTGAAGGGTTAAAAGATCCTTAAAAAAAGTGTGTCTGCAATGCCCACATGTACGTGTGTGTTGGGGAGCAGGTGTTTTCCTCCAGCTGTGATGAATCACCCTGTCTTCTTCCTCCCCCTCCTCCTCCTCCTCCTCCTCCTCCTCGGTGATGTGCTGAAACCACCAGGAGGTTCCTGCTATCAGCCTTCACCTCTGCCACTCCGCCAAAATGTCAGAACTTTGCTTCCAATCTGTCCTGATGCAGGTATTTTTATTTCTATCACCGCAAGAAAAAGACAACTGGAAATCCTTCATGTCTCACTTCAAGCTACGATTTATCAAATATAAAGCTTAACCCTGTGTGTATTCTGACGTTGAACTGTCTGTGGAGCTAACCACGTTTATTTTCTTGTTAGAAATAATAAATTGAGGAGTCATAATGTACATTACAAACCATTTCATTAAACAAAATAATTAAGTGTCATATTTTCAGGAGTTTATCAGACAAAAAATATATCATGGCCACAAATATACTATTTTCTGACTGGTAGCTGTTATAGAAAAGTTATTTTGGGAAATATAATTGTTTTGCTGAGTTAGACGAGAAGATTGATACCATATCTGTAGGCTGAATATGAAGCCAGCAGCCATTTTAAGTAAAAAAAAATAAAAAATCCATACAGCAGTGCGTCGAAATGTTGCTAATTAAAAAGTTACATCTTGTGTAAAAACAACATGCAGTGCTTTTTCTTGGGGCTATGTGCCGAATTATTTCTGTGCCAGCCCTGGTATCTACCTGGAGTCTTGTCATTACAACCAGCAGAGACTCCAGGAAGTGGACTGACATTGTTAGACCACCGCTGTCTTATTGTAGAATTCAGGGTGGATGGCTGAAAGCACGTAGCTCTGACACCATAGGTCACTTGTGTTTCCTACCAACAGTCATCATACTTTAACAATGAATGTGATAGCTAATAAATATAACAGCTTTATCTTCATTGGAAGTTTTAAACATCAAAATCAACACAGCGTCTTTGTTTTCACCTTTTTTTCAAAGTTAAAAGTGATCAAGTAGCTTCAATAATTTTAAGTCAAAGTGACTAATTTATATTTTTACTTTCAAAACAAAATACCTAGTAAAAAGTGCATAATCAAGAACTTACAAAATTAAGTTTGTGTTACTTAAAAAAATTGTTGAAACAGATTACATACATTACAATTTTGAGTAAAAGTAACTTATAGCATTACAGTGTAGAAACAGTGAAGGACTCACTTTATCTAATCTTAATTTTTGAATTATCCTATTTTAAATCTATGCATTTTAGTTGTTTTGTTTATCCCCACCCTCCTTCATTTATCATTTAACTTCAATAAAAGTACTACAGACTACGGTGTTTCAGATAGAGAGAACTCAAATGTATTCTGGTTCATGTTCCTCTTGTTGTCGTCAGGAGATGGAAAAGACACTGAGAGATCTTGTTAGATTATTTGATCTACACATATGTTAAAACTTTTATTAAGAGGCTAGACAATTTTGAAGAATCCTGTTGACCTTCCTGTCAGATCACAGCATGACATTGAGGAGAGAGAGATTGCGCAGTCAGGTACCCAGCAGCACAAATTACAGATTCTCTTGTGGAAGCTGGAGACAAGTCCTCTGACGCACGCTCTTGCTGAAAGGCTGCCAAACCTTTGGTGTGTAGTGCAGTGCAGTATGACATTTTTACCAGGTCAACCAGGTAAACAAGCACTCCGTGCAGCTCCACTGCTGTCGGATGTGTCTTCCACACAGCAAAAAGGCTAAAACAAACACCCAACTATTGGTGAAAAGATGTGAATGTTGAGACCATTCTCGTACAGAAGAAGCTTTGTATCATTTATTTTATTAGCCTCTTATTAACTTTCTGGTGCATTGCGAAGTCTTGGAGTGGCATTCTTCCATGTTGTGGTTGATGCTGCACTTCGTTCTCTCGAGGAGAGATTCGGTGTTCTTTTGAAGTTCAGCAATCTCACAGAAATGTCAAGAGGCACTTTAAAGCGTCGCTGTAAAGGGTTATAGAGGAATCTGCCGGACACGCTGACATCTGCGGTGCAAAAGTGACTGAGGACATCTTAAACTTTCCAGCTGCTCACATAGGATCAGAGCAACACAGGCCCCGAGTCTGTTTCATAAAGTTACAGAAGTTGTACCTCAAAGTAGCTGTAGATTGCTCTCAGAACTGCTGTAACACTTCCTGAGTATCCTGCTGAAGTATTTCCAGGAAAATCTGCTTCTTGTTTGCTCTAACAAAGCTTCCATATTAACCATTTTTTAAACAATATATTCCTTTGGAGATGAAGCTTATAGCCCTCACTGCTTCACCAACTTTAGGTTATTGAAAGTATTAATGCAAAAATGTTAACTGCTATGGTACGACAGGCCTCCAATCACTGGACTGAAGTCGCAAATATTCATGGTTAAAGCTGATTAATGGCATTGCAACAGGCTCATTTTAGTGGACAGATTCCTATTGGCCTCCACATTATTGTAAAAACCAATGAAATACTCAAACATTTGCAGCGTCTTCTGCTCACACAGTGAAGGAGTTTCTGGATAAGTCCTGGAATCTGCATGGCTCATTTAATCCACCGTTTGTGCTTACACTTTTATCATGACCCCTGATGCTCTCTGAAGTACTGCAGTGTCAGAAAGGAGAAAATATGCCTAAACTTTTGCAGACTACAGTTCCTTCAGGTAATTCAAGCAAAAGCTGCACCGAAGCAACAAACACTGCAGGTGTCAGGACACAAAGAAAATCCCTCCAGACGGTGACAAGACCACAAAAAAAAAGGATACAGAGAGGGGTTGTCGGGCTCTTTTATGGCCTATTTCCTTAATACAATGCAGAGCTAATCAGCTGTATTAAGTAAAATACTTGGATCAGGAGTCGGTATCAGCAGATATTAAATTTGATCGTGGAATTTTACAGTAGTTTATCAACGACTACATTTCTGATGTTGTGACATCCCTGTTCCCTAAAATACATTGAATTTCCTGCTTAATTTCAACAGTTTCATGTCTGGAAGTCACCTTTTATACACACAAACCAACTAGTTTGTCATTTATCTAAATAAATGACAAAATAGAAGCTTTGTTTTCATGCTGTTGAGGCTGCTGGTTCAATGTTCTGACTTCTGTTTGATTCTAAGTACTGCGATGATACACTGTACAGCAGCTTTATAGCTGACTAAATACAGCTTTTGAAGACCACGATGTTGCTCATTTATACCATAATGATCTGCAGGAAAAAGCCTTCAGAGATGTAAAGAAGGTTCAAGGAAAAAAAACACTTGAAACAAAATTGACCGCACACTGGGCTGGTGAAAAGCTTTCCATCATTCGACATATTGAAGCCCCGATGTGACTTCGACAACCAACTATTGGTGAAAAGATGTCTCTATAGCGTCGTCCTGAATGACAAGCAACAGGGAGGAAGGAGAGAATAGAAAGTGTCGTGCCACAAAGGCCTTGAGTCTGAAATACACCTGTAGCAGCTAAAAGATGAAGACGTTTCTAAACCAAACACCACAGCAACCATTTCTAAAAAAGGTCTTCAATCTCAAAGTGAGGAGCAGAGAAATCAATGTGAAAATTACTCTGACCTTGGTGTGAATGAGAATGAAGGAAAAGAGATGACCTGCAGTGTCCTCTTGTTGCATCCTGGGTAATATTTGACATCAACATGCTCAGTACGAAGTTCACCTGTTTTGTGATGTATGAAAAACTATATTTTTCCTTTAGAGCGATGACAAAGAAAGAGATTTGTATTTGCGGTGCATTTGTGAAAACACATTTCCTGCCTCCATTACTGTGACAAAACATCAAATATAAGTTGTTACTGTGGAGGGTTGAAAACAAAGAGCAAAGGAAATGCATTGCTACAGACAGACAGTACAGCAGAAACAAATCTGCACTTTAACACAACATTTGTGCACATTTTGAGGCGACTGGGTAAGAAAACCTTCACCTTTGTGAAGTTTATAATTATATTTAAATGAGTTTTCGTTTGTCACTCACACTGAATTCATCAAACTCGAGATGTCAGCGTTCATCTGTTACAGACACAACAGCTCTGATCTGATCTGATTACACACACAGCCACTGGATCAAGTGAGTGGATAAATGATTACTTTGATTTTAACAAACAAAACTGAAAAATACACAGTTACCAATTTTGTTTAGCAGAAAAGTAACATAACTAGTAGTGTAACTAATTACTGTTGTCAGTAAGTGATAAGTAAATCAATATATTACTTTTTAAAAGACTAATCAGTAATAAATACATTTTTTGAGTAACTAACCTAACACTGTTTGTAAGTAATCATTATAAAAAGTGGAAAATATTTATTGATCTCACTTCTGTTGTTTTAACTTTAGGATCATTTTGGAGGCTGTGGTTTGTGGTCCTGTTGAACTGTCTTTTATTTTGATAGGTGTTGCTAATATCTTATAGTACAGTAGTTAAAATATTATTATAATATGTGAGTGTAATGTGTGTTGGTGTGTGAGCAACAAGAAACTGCGGGTCCCGAATGCCAAAGATCGGCGTACGTCAGTGGCTTCCTACTCACTCTGTGTCGGTGATGACGTAGCCGAAGACGTCATCGTCGGCCTTCTTCCTGCCGGCTTTGACGTCCAGCTGAAGTTCGGGAACGTGCATCGTCTTCTTGTGCGGTTTGTCGTACACAAGCGAGGCAGGAGGGGGGGCCACCTCCTTGATCCAGCCCTCCACCTCCGACACCTCCTCCACAGACTGGGTGGCGTCCTTCTTCTGCACCTTCACCGCTGCCTCGCTGGTCCGACTCTGGACGTTTTCCAGACCCACCTGCTGACCTCCGGCTGAGAGGTCGTTCCGATTTCTTGCTGAGGGAGAGGCGTCGAAGGAAGTTTTGTCCAGGTAGGCGAGAAGTTTGGTGAAGAGGTTTCCACTCTGAAAAGAACAAATAGAATAAAATATTGTGAGATGACTTCAAACTGCCACCTTAACGGTTTCTGACCATGTGCAGAATTCAGGTGACTACTGAGGTCCATTAAGACCTCGAAAGCCTCAACACATCTTCCCCCTGAGCTGCTTTCACTTACTGAGCCTGATTAGACCTCTCTGCAGGACTGTGTGGGTGTGTTGATTGGTGTCTTGTTGCACCTGTCAACCAATACTCAGAATTTGATTATATAACCGAATTGCAAAACAAAACTGTAAAACAAAAAAGCAGCACCACCACGGCTGCCTGCATAACAGACGGGAGTGACACGTCGTCACTTTTATTGAAAATGAAATATAGATCAAGCTGACGCGAATAACTGTAAAGAAACATTAACTGAGTTGAGCTAGAGCAGCAAAACTACGCTACTAGCAACACAGAACCACTGGGAACTGGAAATGATCCACTGACCAGTGCATGAACTGGACAAAATAAAGTGCTGGTACCCTAATTCTTTTCAGGTTTTCTATCAATGACGCTGAACATAGCACATCAGAGAGGGTCACATGCTTTGGTTAGTAGACGGCATATGATATGTTATGTAACGGTTTATGGACATAATGCAGAAAATTATAATCATGAAGTTCGGACCTTTGGTTTTTAAAGTTTAACTGAAGTCATTTTTTGACAGCAGGATGGGACAACTACACTACACCTTTATCTGTGTCATCATGTAGTTCCCAGCATACTGTAGATCTGCTCACCTCCAACCTGAACAGAGGTCTAATGACACAGAATAAGTGAAAACAAATTAAATTAGACCCCATTTACACTCTCTAGCTTTTCTTTGTACTTTATAAATACAATTTATGTATTTGTATTAGTTTATCAAGAGCTGTTAGCTAGCTAGCCAGAAGAAGAACTTCTGCCATTTCAAGCTAACAACTGACACTTCTACCTTTGTGTTCTTGTAACTTGCAACTGACATTTGTTATTTAAATAACAAAGACTGATCAATGTATAATCTTTACTTGCAGCCCTTTCCACTCACGACACTGTCTGAATTGAATATAGAGGTGAATTTTCTAAATGAACACAAGTTTAATACTCAGTCATTGGCAGGTGAAGTTAAAACCTCCAAATAACTCAATGTCATGGCAAATTATTCAAATCTGAGGACTTTGAACACATTCCTGTGCTTAATTAGTCTGTGGTAGACCTCTATAATGACAGACATCAGACTTGAGTAATGAGACATTGTTCAATCAAGATCTTTTGTCTAACAGCTTAAATTGAACTGGTGGTGATGTCAGTGTGTTGGCGATCTGCAGCTACAAGCATGAGGAAATAATTGCCCTGAATCCAAGAACAGCCAACCTGTCAGAGTTTATACTGAATAGGATTATAATATGCTATTATCCCCTCGCTGCTGGCTTCAGGGTAATTGCTCGTCTTGTCAAGATCCAAAAGCCAGCATAGCTACAGCGCTACCTGAGTCAAAAACTTACTTTGATTAAACTTCTACGAGCATCTACAAATCTAATTTTCTCCACAATATTAGAGACCTTTAATATATAATAGAGACCTTTCAACCAGCTGAAAACCAGCAGAAAAAGGAGAGAGAGTGCACAACAAACCCAAAGATACAAACAGCATCGGAAACAATCAGAAACATGAAACATTGAAGTTTTATTTGTATTTGTCCTTCAATTAATATGTGAAAAGTTCCCCAGGATCTGGTCTATTGAAGCTTGTAGCTTCAGTAGGAGACCTGTTGCTGTTGCTAGTGAGTACACAATAATGAGTGCAATATTTATCTCTTGAGCAAGAGCCTGTTGTTTCCAATCCCAAGGTAACAGCACAAATTCAGACTGCTATTATATCTTAGTCTCAATAAACAATGTATGTTACAGCTTAGTAACTCTCGATGTTGCCTATGGCATTCACTCAACATCTATTTTACTGTTCATTTCATCAAGAAAACTATGACTATAACTTTTTTTTGCTACAAGCAGACCTGTGGAATCGACACTGTGACCTGAAGCTCCTGATTATCAAAACAATTTCCTCTAACGCCCCAAAAAATCCCTTGTTCAGGATTTGATTTAGCTGCTTGACCTGTTGCACTTCCATTAACAAGAAGCATCTTGCACTGAATAACGCTGACTGTAATGTTATCTGATGGTACCGGCTCTTCACAGAAACTACCCACAATCCAGTGAAAATGAGACAAAAAGCAGCAACAACACAGATGAGACACAGAAACCCTGCAGGCAGCTCACTGACATTTATCAAAAGGTGAGCTAATGTGACATTATCGAGTGCGGTGGACGTACAGTTCATTTTAATGCGTTGCAAACAGGAGGAATGAGTAAGTTACAAGTTTAATGTCGGCAGTCAGCCATAAAAATCTTCCTCTAGGTGCACACTAGAATCATATCGCTACATTAACTGACGTTGAACAGGTTAATGAACAGGTGAGAGACTCAGTTTCTGTGTGCTAACCCTAACGCTAACAGCAGTTGAGTAGGAAAGATGGAGAGAAGCGGCTCAGAGTTTATACAGAGAACTGGACGGCTGTAGTTTCAGAATGCTAAAAGGACATACACATTTTAAATGCATGACAGAAATGAGACTAAAATCAATACACATTTTCATCAAAAGACAACAACTAAATCAAAATGAACACTCATTCATTGTCAAAACCTTGTATCTGTGGGGATAAGAGTCATTTGCAGCTTAGCGAAATATAGCTAAATCATATGATATAGCTCAGTTTATCACCTTATACATTTTAATGCTATGAAATGCTGTGAAATGAACCAAAGTGCAGCCTCAGACCAGCCAAGGTGTCGTTTGTTCCTAGTTTACAATCTGAATGATTTTTACCTCTTCTAAAAGTACCTGACGAAGATCAGACAACAAAAGCGGTGAATAAGTTCTGATAACTCACTGACAAACTTGTTTTTATGAGTGTTAATATTTCACACTGCAATAATTGACTATACTTTGGCTTATTTTTACCTTCTATTTTATTTTACTCCTAAATCGTCAAATGTGTCTTTTTATATTGCCTTGTGTTTCTTTTCGTAATGTTTTTTTTTAATGTCTTATGTAAAGCACTTAAAACTGCCTGGTTGTTTAAAGGTCTTATACAAATAAACTTTCCTCCAGTTGCTTTAGAAGTACTGGTGTTCATTATTTTCCAAATGTACCACACATTTGGGGATTTTATTTTTTATGTTAAAGTAGCAGTATTATTAGATTTATTAGTATTATAACAATTAAAAAATGTTTATTATTTGGCCATTATATCTTTGTGACAAGTAGCTTAAAAAGTCTCATCTGTTCCTTATGAAAACTACACCTGATGTACTATAGCTATATCAGTGAGTTTCTGCTATAGAAACTCACTGATATTGATTCACTTCCTCCTTCATGCACAAAATTACATAACTGCTTTTTCTTACCACAATCTGAACGCTTACCTCGTCTTTCACATCACGCTGCTCTGTATCCGTGTGGCGCTCTGTCGGGGGAAAGACAGTCGGTGTATTAATACATTTGCATGTTCGGCAGAGAGAAGAACAGGAGACGTTCTTCGATGAAAGATTTCCACATTTTAAGGAATTCCTTGTTCTTTAACATTTGACTGAATTTTCTCTCCTGTAGTAATTTAGGTTGAAACAGTTATTTTTGTCTTTACTAAACACAGAATAAATATCAGACAATCTGCAGTAATAATCTATTTACAGGCATGGACCATGGAAGCGTTGGATCTGACCACACGGACCAGCCTTCACTGCATCAGTGAGCCTCGCCCCTGACCCTGTCTCCATTATTTTCAGCCATATTTAAGCTATTTGTTGAACAATCTTACCTGTAGTGTCAACATTTTTAGTTTGAGTGGTCTCAGTGCAGACCATTAAAACCAGCTGTGTTTATACCGAGCAAAACAGGACGCTTATTTATGTTTACATTGATTTTTTTTATGTTGCACTCTTTCTTTTGTTCAATCCCACCAACACAATTATATATGTACCGCCGACTCGCTCTCCAGCTTTTGCTCGATACTTTAATTGTGTAAAAACAAAAAAGGAATCAGTATAAAATCACCTTGAAGAGCTGCTGGCACCACAGGAGTGCTCTCCTGTGGTTTCAGTGTCGGAGCGCTCTCCAGCAACTTTTCCTCTTCCTCATCCCTGGCAACCTGCTCCTCTTCTTCCTCCCTCTCCCTCAGCTCTCCGCTCAGGTCTCTCGGTCCAGGTCTGACCCGGGCGAGGCCCCTGTTCCGTCCCTGGTCCCGGTCGACCACCTGCAGAGCATCAGCTATGAGGCGGGACAGCTGGTCCAAGTCCTGAGGCGTCAGGCCGTCAACGTCCACGTGTTGCCTTCCCACGTTCTTCAAAACCTTCTCGATGAATCTCTCTGGAGGAGACGCGGAGTTAGATAGTGAGATTCTAGCTCATTGTTTATCTGTCTGGCTCCAACTTTACTGTTGTGGTTCGCTCTCATAGCCCTCATAATGGAGTTTTAGTTGCAGCAGTCGGCTGTTTTCAAGTTTTCTAAAAACCCATTGTACACTTCCTGCTCAGCACCAAAGTTAGCATCTAGCTAGCGAACATAGTGGAGCACTTTAAAGCCCTCAGGAGGTGGAAGAGACCAAAAACAGAGCTAAAACAAAGTTAACTTCAAAGGTGATGTGTGGCCAAAACAGTCAGTAACTGCAGGTTTAAATGTGAGGAAAATGGAGGTTTAAAATCTACAATGTCCATAAAAATAAAAACTACATCTGTTGAGGAGGATGTGTGACATGATTGAAAGCCCCAGAACAGTTATTAAATGTACAGTGCAAGTTTAAGACACTTACGTATTGGCTTAATTTCAGAGATCCAGTTCTGTCCAATAATTTATACTACTGATACTTGCTGTTAGCATGGTTGCAGTTGCTTTTAGCAGCTTTACTTGACTTGTATTACGACTTTGTGGGACTTTGGCACAATACAGTGTTTATCACTACTTTAAATTCACAGCATGCTCCTGTTTTATAAGACATAGCACTGATTGAGCTCTCAACCAGCTGCACTGCAACCTTTAAAATGAAATAAACAACCTTTTCATGTTGTCGGTGATTACTGTTTTTCTCCTGAATTAGATTTTCTGACATCGTAGTTTATAATCTCTGATATTATAACGATCTAATACAACAATGCCACCAACCACAGAGTCCACACCCTCTCTGTGCTTTCCAGCACTGAAAGTTACACAGCTTAAGGATGAAAGATGTGTTTGTATGTGATTGTGGATTATTAGACAGCCTTGAAAGTGAATGACACACCCTACAGTGAAGCTCTTTGAGTCAGTAAACACCCTCATGATTCTCTGATGCTAAAACCCCTCCTGGTGCCCCCTTAGAACACGTACCATCCACAGACGTAAGCGGGTCCTTGACTGAAGCCCCTTGAGTTCTTCCCATCTTTAGAAGCCTGGGTTTTGAGGTCTCTTTTTTGAGCCCAGAGTTTTCTATTCCGTTGCTGTAAGGCCTCAGGCGGGATGCGGGGGCCTCTTGCTCCTCGGGGCCCATGCCCCCGCGGTGCAGCGACAGATGCCCAGAGAGATACTGCCTCAGGGTGCTGAGGAGAAGGTCTCCCTCAGCCTGCGTGGCCAGGAGCTGGTCGGCCGGAGGTCTCTGCTGCTTCTGCAGAGGTAGGAAAGAAGAAAGAGAAGAAAAGCTGGAGGGAGACGACCTCTGAGCTGATGTCTGGGCCTTGGAGCGATAGAAGTCTGCCGGGATGCCTGACTGGAAACGGTCACTCTGAAAGAGTCAACAAGAGTACACATAATCACAATGAGTTAACAGTAAACAGAACTGTGGAGTAATGGGATTATTATGTCCTAACTAACGTCTTCTAATCTGCTCCTGAGGAATGTGCCGCACATGATAATAGTATTTCAATGTTAGTCAGAATTTGTATGTATTGGCACCAAAATCCAATAAAATAACAATAAATGGGAATTTCTGGGGGATTTTTAATGCATACTTGAGTGTTTATGATTATTATTGTGTATTGTGCATGTTTAGTATGAACAACACGGTGGTTTTATGTTTTTTAATTAAAGAATTTTCAAATAAAATATTTTTTAATGTATTTTTCTATGGTGGCCAAGAAAGCAGCCTTAAAGCCAGCTGAAGCTGTTAGAGTGGGTTGGGTTGGTGGTCCTAGCTCCTCCATGTTGTAGTGTCTTCGAGAAAGACAACCACCAGTTGCTCCGACTGCACTGAACTGTACAGAATGCGCATGGGGAAGATTGAAGTTGCTTTGGAGAAAAAAATAATGTACTGTATCAACAAGAACATTCAAAGGCAAAATTTAGATATTTAATAAAAAGAATTATGAATGAATTATGAATTGCAACCCTGGTTTCTCTCTCCATCTCTCTCTCTCGTTTCCTGTCATCTCTCTGCTGTCTACTGCCAAAAAAAGGAATCATAGAAATAATAAAAAAACAGAGATACAAAGCTGGTGTCTAGGAGTGTGTGTGACAGAACTGTACTTTATGCAAATTCTGGGAACAAGACAAACATCCCACCTGCTCGTTGTCTGAAACTGAAACACGGTCCTGAAATAATGAGCAGAGATGCTGTTGTGCATGTGAATGCAGAAAGAGTATGTTTCTGAGGTACAAAGGCACAGTCATCCTGCCCGAGCAGCTTCACTTCACTCTGCTGTTCCCTGCACTACAACTGCCAGTCCAGTAGTCAGTCCGAACCATCATGCAATGCGGCTTATAGTA